TTAAGAAAAATTAGGATGTTTATATCACAGAGAAAAGCTATGCTTTTCCATTCCACATTAATTGAAATGATCATCAGAAACATAAAATTGACACTAGAATTCAATAAAACAATGAATCCTTACTTTTGCCAGGCTTTGTACTACACCCCCCACCCATCATGTCTTAGTGTAGGCATTTACAATCTAATTGGGACTCAAACAAGAAGGACCTACCAGAGGAACTTCAGACAGAGACACGAGACTTAAGTGACAGATCAGACATCAGAATGAATGGCACACAGCAGAGTAGGACTGCTTAGTCAATGGGTAGGGCAGACAGCAGGCACTGTGGGGGTCTTCTCCGTAGTGGCCAGATTTGAGCACAACCCTGATGAATAGATAGACTTAAGTAGTTAGAAAGGAGGCGAGTCATGTCAAAAACACAAAGGCAACAGCACAGAGGGCACTCTCAAGAGGCAGCTCATACACAGAGCCAGGGGTTCATGATGCAAGTGATAGGAGAAGTTGGAAAGGTGAGTTGGAATGTCTAAAGGATTCTGGATGTGGGTCAGTGAATCTGGGTTCCACCATCTAGTGAATGTGGAGTCATCAAAGACCTTGAGGAAAGGAATACATATTGAAGCCGGTTTGGGGAAGATTAAGGTCATTCTGTCATAGCAAATAGAGAGATGCAATTAGAAATATTGGGAGTCAGGGGCTGTGGCTTTAACATGATAAGGCACATCTTATGAGTGGTCTTCAGAACTCTGGAGCCATGGTTTTTCTCTCTCATGTCTCAAGGTCACATCAACCCCACTGAGTCCTGAATAGGTAATGATTCTTCTTTCCCTTGCATCATTAGTCTCTCATGATATCAAGGATGCTCTGGAAACAAAATGAGTAGATGTGATGAGAGACCATAGGATAAGACAAACTATCCAATAGGATTTTCCCAGCTTCAGTTGCTGACCTATTGCTGTTTTTCTACTACACCCAGGCTGTGGGTAAGATGATATGCTTCTAATGAGGTCACTGAAGTTTACTTCTGAGCCCCATCTCTGGTTAATTATACATAATACTTAGTTTATAAGACAATTATAACTCAGTACTTCCCTAGTAAGTCATGGTGAGGAGAACGCACTTAATGTCTCACTAAGACATTGGGCAACACTGCAACTTCACCTTCCACTTAAGCAAGATAACCTTGGAGAAACTTCTGGTTTTCATTTCTCTTTGCCTCTAACTCCATTTAGTTTGTAGCTACCACTTCTTTTTATATGCCAACTATATCTGGCCCTTTGGCCACCTTTCCCAGCTAAAATATCAGGTCCGATCACTTCCTGCCTGTTTTTTCCAGCTGAGTTTATTGACGGCATCTTGAACCCACATTTTCTTCTCTATCTTCTTCCTTGTCTTATCTGATCCCAGCCACCCAGGGTTGGGTCCTCCCATTTTTCTCTGGCTTAAAAGACCTTTTGAAGTGTGCAGAACACTTTTCATTTCTGGAAAGTAGGTAGTGATGGTTGCTACATTTAGGGAAGAAGTCTCAGCTCTGCAGGTAGTTGGAGCTATGCAGTTGGCCCAGGACAGCAGCAGACAAAAGCGGGGTGGGGGTGGGGGCATGCTTAGTAGCCTGCTTTAAACAAGCTAAGGAAAATAATTTTATTCTTTTTATTTTTATATTTATTTATTTTAAGAAAAATAATTTTAATGGCTGTGAGGCTTAAAATAAGAGACCTGAATATTCTTCTGCAATTGCGTTGAAGACTGCTAGTTGATCCCAGTTATTCACTTTTTTTTTCTCCTTAGGGTTATAGAATGTTTACCTGGGTACATGATCATTCTGAATAAAGACTCTTTATCACTACTGCAGCAGGCACCCCCAGGAACTTAGTATCATAAAGGAATTGGTCAGGATCTTGGCTATGCATCCCCCAGCTAGTCCACCTCTGCATGGTGTGGCCTGCCACTGTGCCCCCGTACTAGCTGGGAGGGGTCCCAGGCACATCAGAAGGGCTCCAGCGTCACTCAGAGCAGGTCAGGAAAACCTCACAGCCCAGAGCATGAAGTGAGCATCACTTACTAGTCTCCCCTGGTTGCCTTTCACTCTAGGTGGAGTTTGCCACTTGCAGGCAGTTGCAATTTTCACTTGTCCTTTGTTCCCCCCGCCTTTTCCTACCCTGTTCCCCAGAGCCTAGCTTTTATTGGGCCTCCTCCCCACCAGTCACATTTCCCCAGATCCTCACATCCTTTAAAGTGGAGTCCCTACCAAATAAATACACCTACACCTTCCTCATGCGAGATCACAGGGCAGCTCACTTCATCATTCTGATGTATTGTCATGCTGGTAAGACTTCCCCTTCTGCATCAGGGATGAAAGGATGGAGCTAAGGGGTGGAGAAGCATCACTAACAAGGTTAAAGAAGAATACAGCCCAGGTCCATATAGCCCACTCTATCCTCTAGCCATCACAAACAACGCTTGCTGGATTCTAGGCATGGGGGCAAAGAAAAAAAAAAGATAGCCCTTGCCCATAGGAGCTCAAAACTAGCAGAAGAGCAAATTAGTAAAGAGATTATCAAAGTAAAGAGTGACACAGATTGGATAGAAATGAACTTGAGGGTCCTGGGGGAGAGGAAAGGGAGCAAACTCATGGTGGGGGAGTTTCTGTGTTGAGTGCTGAAGCTGACTGAGAGGTAACCAGGGGGTTTGCAAAGCCTTGGAAAAAAGATAGCCCATGGTCTATCTTTCATTTTTCAGAGAACTGAGAAGGCCGCACTGGCCTGAAGTCTAGATGAGAATGGACTGGGGGGGGGTGGGGCTGGAAAAGTGGCAGGGCTAGGTTCAGAAGGAAGGACCTGCTAAACAATTTCAGGTAGAGGCCTTGAAGGGCTTTAGGCAGAATAGAGACAACACAGGTGTGTGTTTTAGAAAGCACATCTGGGGGGGCACCTGGGTGGCTCAGTCAGTTAAGCATCTGCCTTCGGCTCAGGTCATGATCCCAGAGTTCTGGGATCAAGCCCCGCATTGGGCTCTCTGCTCCGCGGGAAGCCTGCTTCTCCCTCTGCCTTCTCCCCCTGCTTGTGTTCCCTCTCTCGCTGTGTCTCTCTCTGACAAATAAATAAACAAAATCTTAAAAAAAAAAAAAAAAAAAAGCACATCTGGCCACTATACAGAGATGACGAGCACAAGTACAGACAGTGGACTTCAGTGCTTTAGCAATCCTCAGGAGGCACTGGGAGGGCCTGACCCAGGAAGGTGTGGCTGGGATGGGGCGGGTGGAGAGGGAGAGAGAAAACACACAGAAAACTACAGGACTCAGCAACTGAGTCAATGTGAGGAGGAGATAGAAGGGCTGTGACCTTCATCAAATGGGGAATCCACACGAAGAAGCATATTTTAGGGGAAAAAATAAGTATTCAGTTTGAAATTTGACTGGTAGAATTTGGAACTGCTTGTTGGACATGGAAGTAGAATATCCTGTTGACAGTTGGATGTTTGGGGCTTTAAGAGAGAAAGAGATGGGTACCTGGGTGGCTCAGTTGGTTAAGCGTCTGCCTTCAGCTCAGGTCATGATCACAGGGTCCTGGGATCGAGTCCCACTTCTGGCTCCCTGCTGGACAGGGAGTCTGCTTCTCCCTCTGCCTCTCCGCCTGGCTCGTGCTCGGAACCCAGCATAAAATGAGTAACTGTGGTTGCTTCCACCAAAACCTTAGAGTCCCCCTTTCTCTCTCCCACAACCTACCTCCAATTGGAGGCACTTCCTGTCTGCCAGACCACCCCAAATATCCTTCATCTAACCACTCCTCACCCCCTCCACCCTGGTCCAAGCCACCTTCACCTCTCAGTCAATTACTGCCATCACTTCTTAATGGTCTCCCTACTTCAATCTTTGCTCGCTCTCTCCCCACTCGCCCTCACCCACTGACTAGGGCGACTTTAAGTCCAACCACAAATTCCCTCTACTGAACACTGAGTAGAAACCAAGTCCTTACAAGGGGCAGCAAGGCCCTACCTACCTCTCCGCCCATCTCTCACTTCTTTCTGGCCTCACACACCACACTCTTCACCCTGCCACTCTTCCTGGCCACAAAGAAACTCACTGGGCATCCTCTAGACTTAAGGCCTGGCCAACTGTTCCCCCGGACTGCTGCCTGTCTTCCTCCCTCACTCCTTTTTGGTTTTCACTTAAAATGTCACCGTTCCTCTGAACTTCCCTGGCCCAACCTCCTGCACTCCTTAAGCTCCTCTCTTAATTTGCTTCTTTTTGGCATTTATAACTATCTTTTTGTATATTCCATTTAAGCTTTTATTTATTTATTTATTTTAAAGATTTTATTTATTTGACAGAGAGAGACAGCGAGCAAGAGATGGAACAGAAGCAGGGGGAGTGGGAAAGGGAGAAGCAGGCTTCCTGCTGAGCAGGGAGACCGACGGGGATAGATCCCAGGACCCTGGGATCATGACCTGAGCCGAAGGCACGCTTGACGACTGAGCCACCCAGGCGCCCTCATTTAAGCTTTTAAATTGTCTTCCGGTGTGTAAACTCCACGAGGGGCAGGGATTTTATTTTATTTGGCCAACCCTCCCAGCATTGTTACTGCTCCATTCTCAGCCCCAAGGACGACGCGTGGCACTAGTACGTGCTCAATAAATATTTGATTTGATATATGACGGGAAGACAGGAACCATAAGTTTTGTGTCTTCCGGTTCCTTCACCTGCGAATTTGGGGTATTACTACTACCTGGCTTGCCTTCTCGGGGTGTTCCCAGAAGATGATGCTGGAGTAAGGACTGTGAACAGCCAAACCACGTATGGACAGGTCGCTAACAGAAAACTGCAGCTTTACACTCCCAGGGCAGGCGAAGGAGACTGACTGAGAGGGCACCCGCGCCCCTGCTCGGCCCTCCCGGGCCCGCACGCCCCCGCCCACACGGCGCCCGCACGCCCCGCCCACACGCGCCCCCCCCCCCCCCCTCGGGTTGGGCCCCGCGGCGCCCGGCGCAGGGAGGACAAGGAGGCGGCGCTTGGACGCTGCCTGAGCGTGGCGTCGGGGCCTCCAGACACAAAGAGCGGCCGGCGGGACCAGTCGTGGGTTCCCCGCGCACGCGCCAGCGCCCTTGGCTTGCGACCCTGTACCCCGCGCGCGAGGGAGACCCGAGGCGCCCACAGCCCAGGTGAGCGAGGCTGGGGCGGGGCTGCGGGTCCCGCCCCTCCGCCGCACGTGCGGCGGGCCCGGGCGCGCTCCCCCCGGGTGGGGCAGCGGAGAAGAAAGGCTCGCTGTCTCCCGGGCTGCGCCCCAGGCAGACGGCAGGTGGGGACCAGGGGGGCCGGGGCCCTGCGACTGTGGGCGCGGCGGGATCGTGGGGCGAACCCCGCGACACCCCCCCCCCCCGCTCCCGCCTCGACTCCCGGGACCGGCTCCTGCGCGGGTTCCGTGTCCTCCCTTCGCCACCGGGTATGGGACCCCGGGTTCGGTAAGCCTGCCGTGCTGGCCGCTTTTTTCCTTCACCCCGGAAGGCGGGGCGGGAGGTCACTTTAAAAGAACGTGTCCCGCGGGAATCCAGCTCCTCCACCAAACCTTTGAAAACCAGGTCCTACAGTCGCTGCCGTTCCCGCAGTGTGCGTGGTCCTCGCAACGAGTTTGCAGCTTTCTGGCCCCTCTGCTGAGTTGGACGCTAAACTCCCGGCGTGCTATCAGGATCGGGGCGAGGGCTGTGGTCCTCACTGATGACGCGGAGGTTAAATGGTGGGTCGAGCATGAGCCGAGGCCGCCGACTTTGTTCCAGGGACGCGCGCAGCTGCCAGGTACCCGGGCTCCTGGATCGCCCACGGTGCCAGGTCCCTCAGCCTCCCCCTTCACCCGCAGAGCGCGAGGCCGGGTTCCTCTGAGCAGGCCACTTAATCCACAGAATGTTAAGATTGCATCCCTCCGTATAAAACTTTTTAGGATGTACCTGCTTCCTTTGGTTGTGTCACGAGTTTGCACTTGGGAAAATTGTTTGAAATAATATGCTACTCTCAGGAACTGAAAATAGTCTGTTGAAAGTTTTATATGTTGTACTAGTTGTTCAGCAGGATCATCCCTTTCCTCCCATCGGTGGGCTCAGTCACAAATCCCACGTAGGAGTCTGTCCAGTCTCTTTGGGTGTTTCACACTCATAAATCGTGCTCTGGAGACTTAGGCCAAGCCATCCAACAGTGTGGGGGGGGGGGGGAGGGCTGGTGTCAGGGCAAGAACTGTGGAGCTGGAGGGCTTGGAGAAGGTCAAGTGATGCTTAAGGTTTCACCTCCAGCACTGTCAAGTAGGAGGGAGGGATTATGGGTGACCTTGTGTTTTTCTTAGAGGCCTTTACTGGGATTTCCAAGTTTTCCACATTGGACTTAGAATACATTTCAAAGCAGAAAATTAAAAAACAAAAAAAGGTAGTTAAAACTAATTTGTTAAACAGAACACTGAGCAGTCTCACAGTTTTATGAACTGTGTGCAAGAGTCTGTATATTAAAGAAAAGTGCTAAGGCAGTTAGATAAGTAGTGTACCACCATGCTGTCCCTTTTCTGTTTGATTTATATCTGTATTAGTTGCTTAAACTGTTACAGACTGAACTAGTCTGTACTAGCAAATAAAAATGGGTCTTGTGTGTTTATATATAGTTCAGATTCAATAAGAAATAGAGGATAAACATTTTTGCAGAATGAGGAAATAACAAGTCTTCTCCGAAGAACCGGAACTTGAGATAACATTTAACACCATCAAATTAGAAACAGAACATTTTATAGAGCAAAAGGTAGGGTTTCAGCATTTTTTCAGTTGAGGACTTTATATAATCTTTGATGGAAAACTTTTTTTTTTTTTCCTCTAACCCTTATTTATCTTCATACATTGTGGTTTACAGGGCTGCTCAGAGATGGGTGAACTGACAGTCATTTGCTAATAGCATGTTGGAAATCCCTTAGTGTTAGTGTGTCCTTTGTTCTGGTCCTTAGTCCTCATGAACATTTGGTGGTAGAAAATAGAGTAACAGAAGTGTTGCAAAGTTCTAACTGTAAGTTTTCAAAGTATTCAGATCCTGCCCTTTTATGGTGAGTGGTTTTAAGTACTGGTTGGTGGGGGCTCCTTTTTTGGGGAAGATGGCATATGTGGGGTTTGAAATTTGGACATGTGAGAGATCCCTCTGACCATATTCTTTCTACCTTAGACACTTACCTCTGGATTTTACCAGGAGTAGGCGGCTGCTAGATCTCTCTCTCCTTGCCTGGCTCAAGAAAGGACTAGAATAAGGAGGCAGAAACACAGTGTCCTGGTCTCACACCTTGAGCTGGAAGTTTCAGATGGGCAGTCAGGGGCATGGTGTGGCTCCTGACTGGAGGGAACAGTGCCCTCTGACCTGGAGGGGCAACTCCAGGGCCACAGCCACTTTGCTCTCAATTCCGTGGTCATTTTGTAAAAGGTTGAATGGCAGTGGCTGTAACTAGACTTAAGATTTGGGCTTAGCTGAGACCTTGGCTTCAAGTACAAATTAAGAATTTAGGCTCAAGGCCAGAGATTTGGTTAATCACAAGCAGGAAGCCAAAACTTTGGGTCAGATTCTACCTGGAGCTATTTGGAGGGCTGCAGTAGCAGAAGGCTTTCCTCCCCCCATCCTTAGGGTAACCTTGAGCCTCCTGGTGAGACTTTTCCACCAAAGGATTTTGACTGTTGCTTTCTGTGAACACAGGAATGGAGGAGTCTTTTGGACGGTGTTCTGTGTTTGTAAAATCTTGGTGAAGTTAGAGCATGTAGCTGGCGCTTCCTGGTTGTACTCATCTGTTTCCCTCAACCCCGGATTGTCCTTCCTTAAACTTCAACATAATGGCTTCTTGTTTCTCAAAGACTGGTACATGGTCTCCCTTGAGTTGAAATCATTTGTTTCTCAAATAAACCAACACCCTCTAGGTAATTCTAATGCACTCAAGTTTGAGAAGTGCTGGCATATGCCAGCTTTTGTGCATTGACTTATTTTTATTTCTTTTTTTTTTTTCCAAAGATTTTATTTATTTATTTGAGAGAGAGAGAGAGAGACAGAGTTAAGACTAGAAGCAGAGAGGAAGGGAGAAGCAGGCTCCCTGCGCGCCAGGGAGCCTGACAGGGGGCTCGATCCCAGGACCCTGGGATCATGGCCTGAGCCGAAGCCTTACCTGACTGAGCCACCCAGGCGCCCCGACTTATTTTGTATTTCATGAGAGGAAACCAGCAGATCCTTTAATGATGTGACACAGGCTTTTATAACCCAGTTATTTTATTTTGGGATCTGCTTTATTAATAAGTTAAAATTTTGGTGTGTTGGGAGTTCGTCAAAGTGAACATCATTTATTGTTACTGTTAAAGATCTGAAGGGAAATCATTCTTCCCAATGTCTAGTTTTTTTAAGTTTTCAGTTAAGAATTTTACATTTGTGGATGTCTATCAGTTGGGATATTTTTAGCTACCAGTGATGGAAAACCCAACTCAGCCTTGGCTTAAACAGAAAGGAAGTCCGGAAGGAAAGTATAGCACTTCAGGATGGGTTGTTCCAGCAGCTGAACCAGTATTTGGGGGCCCAGGCTGCCCCTTTTTTTTAGATTTTATTTATTTATTTATTTGAGAGAGAGAGAATGAGAGACAGAGAGCATGAGAAGGAGGAAGGTCAGAAGGAGAAGCAGACTCCCTGCCGAGCAGGGAGCCCGATGCGGGACTCGATCCCGGGACTCCAGGATCATGACCTGAGCCGAAGGCAGTTGCTTAACCAACTGAGCCACCCAGGCGCCCCCAGGCTGCCCCTTTTTTGCACATTGTCATGTTGGTGGTAGCTGTCTCACATCTGGAGGAAGAGGGAGGGTGGCTTCTGTGACTCTAAGAATGAGGAGTAACACACCCAGTGGCCTCTGCGTCGTTGGCTTCTGGGCCATTGAATCAGTCACCAGCTGGAAGGGGGCCTACGCCACCTTGGTCTGTGATAGGCTCCACACTTCCCTGCAACTACTCCATGGAGGCAGGGTGCATGGGGGCTGTGGGAGCGCAGGTTTTGGGTACCTGGTCACTAGAGGGCTGTGTGGCTCACCACACAGGTGGAGTGCGTCCCCTGGGCCCTCTGTATGGCTTGTGGGCTGGCTATGCTGGTTGTCAGAAATGGAGCCCTTGTCTCTTGGTGATTTTATTTTATTTATTTTTTTAATTTTTTAAACTTTTAAAATTTTTTTGGTGATTTGTTTTTAAATTGTGCACTCACTCTGTTCTCTGCTTTTGGTAAATTCTTCCATGTAGTGCTCATAGTGAGTCTGCTGCACCAGGGCATGCTCTTGTCCCCATCCCGAAGATGGGGTTATGCTCAGAATCCCGTGGCACCAGGATCTGGATAGGCTCTCTGCAGATCCTATGCCTCCTAGCATGTGGGATTTCTACCATATATCACTGCCTCAGCGACTAGATCATTTCTGTACATTAAAAAGAAAGTCAGGAGTTTTCAGTGCTGATAAAAAGTTGTGACTTACACGATCTGTCTAGATGTGTAAAGTGAGTGAGAGGTAAGGGAATCGGCAACTCAAATTCCATGTTAAGCATAATTGTGCTTTGCATTGGTAGACGTCATGGGTGTGCATGCCCAAGGAAATAACATTAAAAAGATGAGTCTGATGTTGGGATTGGGGCTGTAGCCTCTGCCAGCCGTCCTGTAGTCCTGCCAGGGCAACCTCCTAGGAGTGCCATTCACACCGCGGCCTGTGGGGTCTCCCTCAGGGTCACAGATGGCATCAGACCATAAACATAAGAACCAACATCAACTAATGTAATTAAACAGTCACTGATTTGGGGCTTAGCTTAAGGGCACAGGAATTTCATAAACAGTTACACATTGTTTAAAAATCAATAGAGTGGTCTGCTCAGTCAGACTTTGACAGCAGGTTGCCATACCCTAGGGCGAGCTCGAGGTATCTACAACATCTTTACCTGCCCTGGCTCTAGTCAGGTGGCCCGAGGAGGGAGGGGCTAGTACTGCCAGTCCATGTGGCCTCCAGGCTTTTGGCTGTGTTCATGAACATGGACAAAACTGGGCAAGAGTGGGCAGTACCACCCGGTCCCCAGCTGGGGAGAGACTACAGGACAGATGAGCCTCCTCCCTGCATACACAGGGTGCTGTGTGTCCCCATGTGGATGGGGGA